GCTGTGGCGTCTTGAGTTGTTGGAAGGAAAACAAACACAAAGCAAAACAAACAAACTAAAACCAAAACCCAACTTCTGCCTTACAGCTCATGAATTAATGATCTATGGTTTGAGTTATTTGACTTAGATAATGTTTCCAGTGCTCCATACCTGAGTTTCTTGTGACGTGGTGTGACAAGTGTTCAGTCCTGGAGCTGTGTTCAGCTGTAACATGCTGAAAGCTCCTGCCCTGCTGTTACCTTGTCCCTGCTGCTGGCTTGTTGCCCTCTCTTGTTTCTCACATCCTGCTTTGCCTTTTGCATCCCATTTCCTGGCTGGGAGCAGCTCCCTTCCCACTGGGTGGCTGTGGGAATGGGTGAGCAGTGGGGCTGGGGGAGCTGCTCCTCCCCAGCAGGCTCAGGAAGGGCAGACAGGTCAGTAGGGCTGCACCAGCCAACAGCCCAGGGCTGATCGAGTCCAGAGGAGGCCACAAAAATGTTGAGAGGGCTGGAGCAGCTCTGCTGTGAGGACAGGCTGAGAGAGTTGGGGCTGTTCAGCCTGGGGAAGAGAAGGCTTCAGGGAGACCTTATTGTGGCCTTTCAATACTTGAGGGAGCCTACGAGAAAGATGGGGACAGACTTTTACTAGGGGCTGCTGTGATAGGACCAGGGGTACTGTTTTTAATTTAAAAGAGGGGAGATGTTGACAGTGAAGGTGGTGAGACACTGGCACAGGTTGCCCAGAGAGGTGGTAGAAGCCCCATCCCTGGAAACATTCAAGGTCAGGTTGGATGGGGCTCTGAGCAATCTGATGTAGTTGAAGATGTCCCTGCTCACGGCAGGGGGGGTTGGACTAGCTGACCTTTAAAGGTCCCTTCCAACCCAGACCATTCTATGATGAAGTCAAACAGTTCTTGTGTTTGACCTCTACCAGAAGTGACAGGTTGAATTATTTTAAATATCTGTACCTGAAAGCTGCTAATTATTAACTGAAGCCCCAACACACGCTAACGAGCCTCTTTGTTGTTTGCAGGGGCCTTGGGTAAAGCACCCAGTAAAGTCACAGATGCTCTTCCAGAGCCTGAGCCCATGGGAGCGGCGGCTGCTGTCGATGAGGAGGAGGACATTGAAGCCATGCAGTCGCGGTTAGCTACGCTCCGGAGCTGAGGAGGGAACACGTGTACAGTTTGCCTTTGTTTGTTGTTTGTTTGTTTGTTTGTAGTGGGAGGTTCTGTCCTGCCTTCAAAATGCAAAACTTAATATGTGAGAATATTTTATGTAATATATATTGTTGGGTTTTTTTCCTTCCTGGGGAGTGTCTTCTCCAAGAAACGACTGTAACATACCTCTTGGGGAGTTCAGGCTGTAGCTTATCGATTATCGTAGCGGTTTCCATTCAGCTCGTCTCCCCTGCGAGAGGCTGTGGTGAAATGGCAATGGTTGGTGTCATGTTCTATATTTTCAGATATAAAGTCCTGAAATACATTCTTAGCTTCAAGTAGCATCATTCCCTAAAAGGCACTTTTGGCTTAATCTGCTACAAAAAAACCTTCACTGGTAAGATCTTGGTTTTTCTGAATCACTACAAGTTTTATTAAAGCTGCTTTTAACAGTTGCTCCTGTGCATCAGTTTAGTTTGCATCACTTCAGCCTCTTTTCACAAACAATATCCACCTCTAACTGCTCCCTCTTGGGTTTAGAGCAGCTTTTTTTTTTTTTCTTTCCCTTTCTTTAGCACACTGGGGGCCTTCACAGCATGGGTAAAGAAAAACTTTCAGTTCAACAGAGCTGGAAGAGCAGCTATTTAACAGCTGCTCTAGGTTTCCAGACCTGCACAAGCTCTTCCTTCTGATCTTGGCCACTTCCAGCAGCTTTTTTTTATCATTTCTCACTCCAAGACATACTCCTAAAAGGCACATGGCAGTCCTGCCACCTCTGTGCTTCACAGGAGCTGACTCAGAGCACCCCTGGGAGCAGGCAGAGGGGATAACGCACCCTCAGTGGTTTTGCTTTCTTCTCCATCAGTTGTGTCTCTCAGGGAGCAGGAGAGGGCAGCTGAAGCACTTACAGCTGAATGGAGAGGAGCATTTAGGGCAGGATTAACCTCCCTGCTTGGGGGGAAGGCAGCACACAGAAGGCAAAAGCCACATCTTCTCTACCCTGCACCACATGAGGGAAAAAGGAGCCCAGCTGGGGAAGAGAGCGAAAGCTCCAAGAGCCCATCTTAGCACAGCATAAAGGTGAGTCCCCGCAGTACTGCACCACAAGGGAGGTTCACTTCAGATACCTTCACATTTCAGTAGTCACTCCCAGTGGCACATTTTTAAGGTCAAAGGAGAGGTGTGTCTCCTCTCAAGGGAAAACATGAGGCAAAACTAATGTCAATAAGCAGTTTGCAGAGCGAGTGTCCACTGTGTCTCTCACTGGAATGTGTCAGTGCCCCAAGGGCCTCACAGGCAAAGGAAAGAGTTTTGAATTTTAAGGAAGACTTACCAAGAGAAAACTGAGTCTGTAAATAATTGTATTCCAGCAGCAAGGGCAGAGGAACAGACAAGGCACGGGGATACCTGGATGGTGCCCAACAACTTCCAGTTCCAGCCGTAAAAAGCAGGGAGGGGCCAAGCCCTGTGCACCTTCATGCCAGTGAGCAGCAGAGTAACCCTGAGGCCTCAGGGCTGTGCACTCAGTTGCAGAACTCAAATTCAAGCCTTCAGTCTCCACCCTAAATGTCATGAGAACAGGCAAATGGGAACATTTGCTTCTTGTGGTCTTAAAAAAATCCAAAGAGGATGGATCAAGAAGGGGAAAAAAAAAAAAAAGGCAGCTGAAGAGTCAGTAAATGGGGTTGATAACAACTGCAATGAGAACACTGAACAGCAGCACCTTGGGAAGAAAGTTCAAAATCCAACTTCAACAATGGGGCTTTTCATACCCATGTGTGTACGGAAGACCAGGGTGACTCATTCCTTGGCTGGGAGGTCAGGCACCTGTACAGCTCCCCACAGACACAGGTGCTCCAAGCAAGGCACCCAGACTGCTCTAGTGCACTGACTGCAAGAACAACATCCAGCTGAAACGTTGCCTTCAAGGATCCTGAACTAGTCCAAGCACAGAATGTCACACGAGGGTTTATGTCTTCTCCTTACAGCATCCAGCTGAAGCCCTGAGAACAGGCCAGTGTTTGCTGTCAGCTGGAGGCCTCAGCAGGCAGAGGTGGGGGGCAGCTCTCACCCACCACAGCAGAGCTGTGCAGTGCATCAGCAGAGTGCCAGCTTGCAGTGTAAGCCCAGGGAGCCAGAACATTTCCCTGCCCAAGGAGAACACAGCCCATGTGCTGCCTCAGCCCCCAGCCAGCATTAGGGACCTCAGCACAGGCACAGCCAGCTGTGAACAGTCACCCAGAGATCTGCAGGTCTGACCCAGGGCAGGACCTCCTCTGGAGCAGGACACTGCAGACCAAGCCAGGCAACAACCACACATCAACAAATTTATCATCATTTCAGTTGCTGTGGGCACCTGCTTCTGGAAGGAAGCAGATGTACCTCTTCACAGCAGACACATGAGCCCAGTTTATTCTACCTTGATTAAATCTTCTCCCTGCAAGTCACTGCAGTCCCAGCTCCACTTCAGATCCCAAGGGATGGATAAGAGGGAGTTTCCCTGAGAAAATACTGTCACCTGAGACAGAACAGTTAATGCTGATCCTCAGTAGCAGGTGAAGTACCACAGGGAGGGGAATTTACACAGAGTTAGTCACTTTGTTACATGAAGTTCAGAAAAGTGACTTTTGGGTAAGTAGGAGGTTCCCCCTCACCTGGCTCTTCCCAATATTTGGTGCTGGAAAGGGCACCAAAGAACAGAAGGTTCCTTTTATCTCAGTGTGTGCTGTTAGACAGGAGATGTGCTTTTCCACTCTCAACCTCAGTTTTATGGTATTTTCAGTCCTTCTCTAAGTAATACAAGTTACATAGCGATAAAGTAAGTATTAAGTAGTTACTTCTGAGTAACAGAAGTGACTAACTTAGAGTGACACGTGTGCTATTTAAGACTGAAGCTGCAGAACTCATTTGATCCAGACCATAGTACTGGCAGTGGCTGAGAGCAGTGGTCAAGTTAAGCCACACTTTGGTTAACCAAAAAAAAGGCAGCTATAAACAGCTCTGTTCCTAAATCCCATACCTGAAGCCTTCAGATACTTTAAAACCCAGTATGAACAGTATATGATACATCATTTTCTTTTGCATTTCAAAGCACTGCATCTGATTAATTACATTTTAAAGAGCCAATTGAAGAAGCTAGGCAAGGAACAATATCTGAAATAGAAGAATTTTATGTAGACCATTCAGTGTTAAAAACCAGAGAATCAAACATCAGTTCAAATTAAAGAGCAGTTTCAAACAGAAGACATTTGATTAAAAGTTTCTTTTAACATTTAGAAATTTAAATACATTTACCTAAAGATGGTTAACCCCCATCTCTATGTTACTATACAATAGCTTAAAGCTACTTTTAAATGCTAGTTCTATGTTAACATGAAATTCTAGAACCGCATTCTTATTTTTTCTGTAAATTGGTTATTAAATTGGGTGACTCTGTACTTCCTCCCACCCCAAAATACATTTTAAAAATTGGAGCTTTACAATATCTTGAATAATTTCTTTTTTTTTTTTTTTTTTCTTCTTCTTTTCAAATGAGTAATTTGGAATAGTTCCCGACAGTTCTATAGGAGGTATTTTGTACAGTTTGGAGAGCAACTCCATATAAAGTTCTATTGCAACTGAGCATTCACAGTATGCCACAGTCCATACATATTAACTACATATACATATCAGGTTTGTAAACATTGGAAGAATACACAGAACATAGTACCACGATCCTCTGGTACTGCTGAAAGGAAGATGAGGTAACATTCATATAATCTCATAGTCCACAGAGGTCCTGACTGAGTAGTTAAAACAGCTGCCAACGCTTCTGTTTCATAGTGTGTGGTTAAGGCTTTCTACGTCACGGTCTGCTAAGGCTGGATTCATTTGCCCTCAGTATCCCAACCGCATCTTTAACAGCGTGGTATATGACATTCTTCACCTAGGAGGAAAGGAAAAGGCACTTAGTTGGACAAGTAAACAGCATGGTTAGGGTCAGGCTGGAAGCCTCCCACATAAAGAAGACACCTGCACGACTTCCCTACTTCCCCCACACCCCCTGCAGCTCTCCTTTCGGTTTCAACACGCTCATCTGCACAAGCTTGGCTTAAAGCACTGACTTGTGAAAATAAGGTTCAAATTCTAACAGGGTACAAACCAACCCTGTAGCTTGAGGAGAGTATTGCAAGCTCAGCTAGAGGGAAAACAAAAGAAATGGAAGAAAGATAGATTTCAAAAGAATCTGAGGAGAAGCTTCAGAAGGGTTCCTCAAAACTACTAAAAATTGGTAACAATTCAAAGCCTATGGAAATTCCTCAACAAGGTCATGGAACCACAGAATGGTTTGGGTTGGAAGGGACCTTAAAGCTCATCCAGTTCCAACCCCCCTGCCATCAGCAGGGACACCTTCCACTAGACCAGGCTGCTCAAAGCCTCATCCAACCTGGCCTTCAACACTTCCAGGGAGGAGCAGCCATGGCTTCCCTGGGCAACCTGGGCCAGTGTCTGACCACCCTCACAGGAAAGAATTTCTTCCTCAGATCTCACCTCAATCTCCTCTTTTCCAGTTTAAAGCCATTTGCAATACAACTTTATTGAATGCATGAAAGCTGATCTGAACACAAAGCAGCTTGGGTTGTGCAGACACATCCCTTATGGGTTTGGTGAGGGTTGTTTGTTGGTTTTTTGGTAGGTTTTTTCTGAAAGGGTCAAGAGGCACAGGGTTCATCTCGAGCATTTTAAGTTACCTGCAATTTATCTTCATGGTTCGTATGCGTATGCGACAGATATCTAAATTCCTGAGTGAGCCAGAAGCAATGTTTGACATGCTCTGGGGATACAAAGTCTTCTGCAACTTTAATACAACTGTACAAATTATGAACCTAGAGAGAACAAACAAGCATTAGCCATGTGCTCAAAGGTCTGCCCCAGTGGTCAGGCTGTAACAGCGCCCCTGGTCCTTGCCTGGTGTGGAGCTCCTGCTGGAATGAAAACTACATCTCCTAGAAACTGTACAATAGCCCA